CTCTCTCTCTCTCTCTCTCTCTCTCTCTCTCTCTCTCGCTACTTTAATTTCTTTGTGTGTGTGTGTGTATACAAAAAGAGATTAGATGTAGCTTAGTGATTTAATAAGCTCTTGCATCTGATTAGCATATTCCGTTAAATATACAAAATTTAAACCAAAAACAGATAAGTGCTTAGTGAGCGGTCGTTGTATTGAATGCACCCATTAAGAGAAATTCAAGAAAAATCTTCAGCACAGTAATTTTATATTGGTATGAAAAAAAAATTAATAATCCTTTAAGCTTGCATTCGTAAAGCACCATCCAATCTAATTATCTCTCCATTTAGTAATGGATTTTCAACGATCTGTTGTACCAACATGGCATACTCATCAGGATTTCCCAGTCTTTGAGGAAACGGTATACTTTTCGCCAAAAAAATTCGTACCTTTTCTGGCAGCGCTCTTAATAACGGAGTATCAAAGAGTCCTGGAGCAATTGTTACGACACGAATTCCATCCTTGGAAAGATCGCGGGCGATAGGTAAAGTCATCCCTATATAATAATAAATTATAAAAAATCTAAATTATAGAAAATAAAATAAGAGAAAAAAATAAACTTATTGTCAAAATAAAATAGATGAAAGTGTAATAATAAGCATAATGGAAATAATTATATAAAAGGTAAAATAACTAAAAAAGTTTTAGAATGATATTCATAGAATTATTACTTATTTCAAGACTGTTTTAAGTGATGCCTTAAAATGTTAATACGGACTCCTTTGATTGGCTTATAACACCTTAAGATTGTACTTAAGACAGTCTCAAATATAAAAATCGATTATAAATAAAAAAAATTGTTTTGTTCTTATTTTAAGACCGTCTTAAAAGTAATATCCAAGGTAATATCTTAAGATGCTAATATAATTCTTTTATTGATTTATGATACTTTAACATTACGCTTAAGACAGTCTTAAATATAAGACTCAATTATAAATATTGTGCCCTTAATGAGAATCTGCAAGTTAATTATTTTTTTTAAATATTCAGCTTCTTATTTCGCAAGTTGCATTCATGGTACAATTATATGTATTGTGGAATAACAGTAATAATTAATGCTGAAACATTCTGTATTTAAATCATAAATTATAAAACAGTAAAATGAAAATATATATACCTACGACTGCTCCTTTTGAAGCAGAATAAGCAGCCTGTCCTATTTGACCATCAAAAGCAGCGACACTTGCAGTGTTGACAATTACACCTCTTTGACCATCTTGATTGGGAGTATTTTCAATCATTAAACCAACAGAGAGGCGAATAACGTTGAAAGTACCAATGGTATTGACTTGGATAACTTTTGCAAAGTCCTCCAGATTATGAGGAAGTTTTTTATTACTATTATATGTCTTAAAGGCTATGGCGATACCAGCGGCGTTGACGAGAACGTCAAGCTTACCAAATTTCTGTTTTGTAAGATCAAGAGCAGCCTGGACATCAGACTCCGAAGTTACCTTGAAGAAAGTTAAGATCAAAAGATATGGTAGTGTATTTTATGTGGTTGTGTATTTTAGTACTTAACAGAGAGATAATAAAAGGTAAGAATATATCAAATATACTGCGTGTTTCAGATTACCCGCGTGTACATCTATTTTTTTCTGATAAATAATCTAATAAAGAATACATTTAAAGATCATATAATGTACTCTGTTTCATATGTTATGATTAAATTTGACAATAGATTGTACGACCACATTGTAATAGCTGTATATAAACATCATACATACATCCATAGGTGCAAATACTGCATTGGCTTCTCCTAATTCATCAGCCACAGTTTTACCTTTTGAAGTAGGTAAATCACCAACAATTACCTTAGCACCTTGCTTGACAAACCTTTCCACAGTGCCACGTCCTAGCCCAGAAGCACCACCAGTTACCAAAGCTACAACACCCTGTAACAATATAAATAAAAAAAGATATTGATCAATTTTTATTGCAAATCTCATCATTTTTAATATACAATTGTAATTATCAACTTTTACAGTGGTTAGACCAATTACTCATTTGCTATGACATAAAATAAAAAGTAATTTGTTTACATTGCTTGTAAAAAAAGACAGGAAAAGATGAAAAAAAGCATACTTTAACAATATGAACATTGTAACTTCTCTGTAATCAATTTTTACATCAAAATTATACTTCACACACACACACAAAATGAAAAAATTTTAATAATTTAAAACATTCAAGCTCTTATTTTCTAAAAAAAATTCACTTTTTTGTTTATATGGGTATGCAACTATGAATAAATCATTTTTCCAAACTAAAAAACATAGCAAGCCTAAGTAAAAAATTCTAAGCAAACTCAATAATACATTTCTCTATTCGAAATACAATGTAAAATATATTAATGTTAATATGTAGTAGTATTACATAATAATAATAATTGAGGTTTTCTACAATGAGTCAAAAGCCCTAAAGCGATTCTAGTCATCAATGAAGTTGGCCACTGACTCATTGTAGAATTAAGGTAGCAACAGGGCTGAGTATGTATTTAAAATACTTTTATTTAAAATACAGTTTTTGCAATAAAAGTTTTATATTTTAGTAGTGCACATATGAAAGTATTATGTAATTTATTTAAAATTAAAAAATTGAAAGTTTTATATTTCGCTATTTAAATAATAAGATTAATTGTTAATTTTAGTATATGAAATATAAAATATCAAATAGTTTTAATATTTTGATATTAATATTGAAATATAAATATAAAATACGTTTATATATACTTTTATGAAGTACAAAATACAAAACATTTTCATGTATACAAAGTATAAAATACAAGATACAATTGTCTTACAAATTAATATAGTTTTTCAAATAAAAATTATTTTAATACGTGACATATCATCTAAGAACATCTTGTATTGTGGCTTTATGCGCCTTTTATTGTACTATTTATTATTATAAATCACTTTTATTATTTATTTATTCAAATAAAAGTATTTTGAATACATGCCCATGCCTATAGGTAGCAATCATGTAATTTTCTTTAGAGCAATAACACAAAGTGAAATTTTTTGTAAGATGTGTGTATATCTATATATATATATATATATACATTTATACATACATAAAAATTTCTACTCGGAGTAACACATAATAAAAATATACTGCAGTCAATCAGAGATTTAAAACAATCCTTTTAAATCGCTATAATAAAAAAAAATAAAAGTACGAAAGCGTTATATTTTTGAACGATGGTCATACCTTCAACATTTTCAAGCTTCAATTATTCTTCTAAACAAATAAACGCCGATAATGGTCCACGGTAATTAGCTCTTACCACTCAATCACGAGGATCGCAAGAATCGCACTGGCAAAAACTTGTTATATGAATTTTCGAACACGTCCTGTATTTTATACTTCGAACTGGTGCGAATAAATTTCAGCAATGATTCAGGAAGAATTATTTCTATGGACTTCAGACCATCAGACTTTGGACTCTGAGAATTATTTATCGATATCTATAATCAACTTTTATCTTAAAAAATATCAAGCATGTTCAAAACATTAAGGCGGGATCTACAATGAGATTTTAAAGATACATGCACATATAATAATTTTTTTACTCAGATATTAGAGCATATATATCTAGTGACATAAGACCAGTAGAATTTAACTCCGAATCTGAACGGCACTGATGATCATAGATCTTTTGAAAGCAGTGGCGTAAAAAATATTTTCTTCGCCACTGGTCATATCGCCTCGCTGATTGGTTGTTGCTACCGCCTTAACGGTTGCATGTGAATGCATCTTTATGCTCTACTACTGCTAGTCAGTTGGTATCAGGTATGGTTGGTATCAGTTGATATGAAGCCATTTTGATTAGTAGCAACACTTGGCAACACTGATCTTAAATTAGCCGCAGTAAGCAGTTTATCCGTTCCATTCCAGTTTTCCATCATGATTTTAACTAATTTTAACTTTAATATCGATCAGTCAATTTTGATGATTAATATCAGTTATAATTAATATCTCGTTTGACGGTGGTTTGCTGGACAGTGTGGAAGATTTTTTCCAGATTTTTCTGCCATTCGTTTCGAGTGAAAATGCGCATTGATTGAGGCTAATTTTATTCATGCTGATCGGTCGAGAAGCTCACACACAACTGAATATTTACAGATTGTATTTACGAAAATAGTCGAAATCGCCCGTAATCTCATCGCAAAATAATTGATGGAATTTGTATCTTCATCGAAATTCAATTGTCAATAGTATTAAAACGCTCAATATATTTCTTACGACATAACTTCTTATTGTAAACAATATGGAGGAAAAGACAAGCCCTTCCAAAGAAATTGGCTCCAACGATATGGATATACAGTCAAATGTGAATTATAACGTTTGCTTTCAATTCATTAATTATATTCATAGTTATACTTGAAGTACGTTTGCAGGCAATGCTGAAGAAAAAATTACAAATGAAGTCAGAAGCGCTTATGTTATTAAGCAAGGAAATGGATCAGAGTAGAATAGAACGAGATCAGTTCAAACTGATCGCTGAGCAAATTCAGGAACGGTTTCTGCATTTAAAGAAGCAGATGTACGATAGGAAAGAACTGAACAGGTATCCTATACAGGCCTACAGTACAATGGCATTACTTTTGTAACTTGGAACACATCCTAAATCTGATTAATGTCTGTTTCTGTCAGTGTAGATTGACTTCAATCTCTGTTTAACTCACTGTTCATTTTTTTTTTTAGTTTTTAGAACTAGAAAGACAAGCAAATTGAACCAAGATTAATGTTAATCTACATTGGTGAAAATGGACATAAGGATATTCATGTAAACTTAGTCTGTATTCCATAATTTTTTCACTAACTTGTACAATAAATTACAGTTTAGATGACGAGTTTAGAACATTGGATCTGTTAGCAGAAGCACGTGAACAAAATAAGTGCCTTAGGCTGCAGGTTGAAACATTAAGGCAGAAACTAGTAGATGCTGAAGGTGATATCAAGGTATTACGTACAAACAATAATCGTATACCAATTGAAGCACAGGAAACTCAATTAGCACCAGCTATGCATCAAAGAGAAGAGATGATAGAGCAATTAGAAAAATTAAATTTAAAGGTAAGCTAGATAATCAGAGAAGTACAACCAATGTTAAAAGAGATGCCATAAATCAGAGAAATCAGGGAAAAGATAGGAAATTTGAAAATAAATAATAAGAATCTCATTGGACTGTACATTTGAAACTTAACAAATAATGCAGTGTTAGCAACATTAATATTAATTTACACTGTTAAATTTCTCTATCAACAAAATATTTAACGATTTTCAAATCAGAAAATACAAATAAATTTCAAGTTATGTATTATATTATTAAAAGATAGGGAAAAATCGTAAAATTTTTGTTTGGAAATCAGAGAAAAATCATGGAATTTTAGGACTATGCGGAGTTCTTGGCTGAGTACTCAGGAGTCTTAATGCACATTTATTTTTATTTATTATTAGTTTATTTCGTATTCGCTAAACGTAATTCCTAGAATTAATTTATGTTGTGATAAAGAATTGTCATTTAATGAAATTAACTTCTACCACAGTGTTCACAGTTGCAAACAGATCTACAAACAGTATTGGATGAGAAACACGAGCTGAAGATGGAAAGGGATGCCTTTAAATGTAAAGCACACCGTTTAAACCATGAACTGTCCAAAGCTTTAAACGCTACCGAACCAGTTGATTTGGATGCTCTTATCAATGAAAATAGGTAATCAAGAATGTGTATATTTGTAGTTTTTAAATAAATAATTTAGTTTTATACTCAAGATTGAGTTATAGTTTTTTTTTTTTAAAGAAAAAGAGTAATTAATGTTATCGTTACAAGTTACCGATGTTTAAAATTACTTCGTAAAAGTAACTTTTAGTTAGAAGTTGTCGACTTTAAAAAGCAACGAATTATAGTTACTAAAATAGTAACTTTTTAATTACTTTTTATTATCATTAGGTCTGTTTTTTATTGCTATACTCTTCGAACGGGTGCATACGGTGCAATAAGTAAATGAAACAAACTTATTTTGTTTCATTTCAATTTATTGCACCGTATGCACCCGTTTGGAGAGTGCAGCAATAAAAATCACACTGAATGCGTCGAATTGACTATTACAATTACTAAAAAATTAATTCCAACTATAACTTATATTGTAAATATATTCTAGATATCTCCAAGAAAGATTGCAGCAATTGCTTGAGGAGAAGGAGCTCACACGTCAATCTTTGTCAAAATATAAGGTATATTAATAGTGAATAGAAGTTATTACTTATTCTTTTTTTGTAACTATTTTTATAAGGTAATCAGGTAATAATTTTTTTTGTAGAGTATGCTAGATAGTAAAAGGGCTAAAGGAACTATCAAGTTGGGAGCAAATTCTGCAGTTGGAACAGTGATGACTCACAAGCAAGGTAAAATATATTTGCAATAGCATTCATAAGCTATGCTGTAATGTATAATTTTCATCATATGCTCGCGCCTTAATACAAAATATTTTTTTTAACTCTATAATAACATTAATATAATCACGAAAACGATGCTTGAGTGCCAGGCACAAAGGAGTATACTATCTTTCCTAAAATTTAAAACTAGTTTCAATTTTTTTTCTCTTAAATGGAATCACGAAGCCGTGACAATTTTAGTAGCTGACAGCTCAGTTACGAAATTGGCAGAGAGGCAATTTAGTATGGAGTTTTAAGTACGTTCAAGGAAATGTTATTATGGATTTTCTATAAGTATTAACATCATTTTGTCAATCTGTATACAGGGTGTCTCGGAGTAGAGTTGAAGTATTTGAGAAAAAAATTATTGTAGACCAATATTCGGCTATATTTAAAAATTAATATCTCGTTAACCGTTGCAAAATTTGCAAAATGATAGAGAACTTTTCGACTCAGTTTAGTCCGCTCTATCTACACAAATTGGAAGAAACTCTCGGGACACCCTGTATATGTGAAGATTTACTTATCATTAAATCTTTTATGTAAAGAGTAATTTATATATTTTTATTTTTAGTCGAACAGCTTCTTCAGGAAAGTTCTTATATACCGCCTCAGAAATCTGCTGCTGCCGTTACCGATCTACGGTGTCTTTGCACTGCCTTACTAGAGGCTTTAAATGATAAAACGTTAGCTCTGGCGCATCAGAAGAAAGCGAATAAGTAATTAAACGTTAGATGCATTTGTACATTTACATTTCTCTAGATTAACTTACACATGCTGTTTGCAGAATATTAGCATTGAGAATTTGTGAATTGGATAGTGCTATACAGTCACCAACTACGAAACTTTTGGAGGGATATACAAGCGCTAATGTTGATTTGAGATGTATGTATAACTAGATAATTGTAATATTTGCTATCGCTATTAATATATGTATTTTAATTATTTGTAACAGATCTATTATACAGGGTTCTCATTTGAATTGATCACTTCAAATATCTTTAATAGTGCATTTCAAAGAAGAATGTTTCGGACAAAAGTTGTATGACTTTTCAAGGGGAGCATGGGATGAAGGAAGATATTTTATTTTACATAAAAATAAATTTTTAGTGCAAAAATGAAAATAAGAGATATAACCTTTAATGGCCTTAATCTTGGCAAATGTTATCCAGGTCATAATCCTGAATAACATTCAAGAGATTTTAGCCGTCGGTCGGACATCTAAGATAATAAACTAAATGTATGCTGGCGATATTGTAACTTTCAAGCATTAAAACTCAAAAAGTACTTAATGAAAAAATATTTTATTATAATGTTTTGGAAAGCTCTCGAAAAAACCTACAAAAATAAGCAATTAAAAATAGAGGGTTCCATTAAAAAAAAATTGAAATGATCTTTCCCTAACCTTAACAATGCCACCCAAGGTCAAATCAATGGTACCATCTTATATCATACAACTTTTGTACAAAACATTTTTCCCTAAAATGTACTATTCAACAGATATTTGAGATTGTCATTAAAAATGGAACATCACCATGTACATACACTATGTACATATATGTAGTATATGTTTATATTATATTTAATTTTTGTAGGTGATAGTGATTTCAATAATTTGGATCATACTAATAGTAGTATACATAACATCGAGGAAAACAATGTTATAACAAATGAAAATATGCAGTGTAACTCTTCACCTGAAAGTCAAGTTATGCAACAATTGCAGTCGATACAAATGAGTCTTCCAAGGAACTTAGGAGTATTGGTTCAAAAGGCATTAAATAATTTAAATGATAAACAGAAGGTATGAAATTAAAAACATGTTACACACGCACACACAGGGACGGCGCCTAGGATATTTGACGCTTCCTTCTCGCAAATTTTAAATTAGCACTCTACATGTATGTAGGTTTCTAATTAGTTATCTAATTTTAAATTTACACACAACGTAAAATCTAAAACTTGCGGACATTCTGAGAATCTTTTTTTACACGTATCCGGAGAAAACAGGGCGGATGTGTTAACACTAAAAAAAATTTTGTGATTCTTCTTTCTTTATTCCTTCTTCACAGTATTAGATTACAACGCGTGTCGCGTGTGCCGACAGCGTTCGACGGCGACATCGCGCTCTTGTTAGAAGATCGTGCTCTTTAAAAGACTCGCTCGGCGGCCATTGACCTCGGCACCGCGATGGACCCCGCGAACTTCCGCGCTCAGTGACGTAATTTCTCCTCGCACACCCAATAACGTCGCCCCCAGTGACATCATCCCCCGCGCCGCGGAATCCTCTTGCCCCTCACTTTCCCTCGGAGAACGTGGGTTAGAACCAATCTTATATATCTACTACTACTATTATATAAACGATATTTCTATCAAATCAGTATTTATAATGTATAATGTAACCTGTTTTCTATGATGGAGATGATTTTACTAAATACTAAGAGATGATTTGTTATGCAATTGTAAACAATTAGTTTGACGTATTATGTGTAGTACATAATCACAACACCGTAATACGTAAGCTAACAGTAGAACCATGATGGAATTAATAAGAGATCTATTTTCTGTGACTAAAGCAATGTATATTTGTAAAACTTAAAGTGAGACAAGCATATGTTTGATATTTGTTGAAAGCGAGAAAGAGAGTTCTAGTGCAAGAACAGAAGAGATCAATGGTGAAACATTGCACATAATGGCGATAGTAATACTAGGAATAATCAAACAAATGTTTTCCAAATTCAATCTTCTATTGCGCTCCATGGGAATGCTTTCACCTTATTAATTTCACCATGACTAGAACGATCGTATTGAGTGACAATGGTCTCGTAAATATTTTTGGTGCGTTATCTAGCTGATTAACCACAAATTGCGAATTAGATCTGTCTGTAAGTGTTATTGATAGTTTCACTGATTTAGTTGATGATAAGATATATTTTACCTATGTGAATATGTATATAATTGTTATTGCTAAATATATAGAATATTCCAAATGTTACGTTTACATTTATGTGTACATCATTAATTTCGTCGGTTTCAGATTCATATTCTTTTATTTTTTTCCAGATATTGAATGCCTGGTCGTTAATAATGCGTCTCTCTTCGATTTGTTTAAAATAAATCTGCAAAAATAAATTATTAATTTTTTTAGAGAAATTAGTACACGTATTTATTTTCGCAGAAATTTTGGATATATTTTAATTCGCCTGTTTCTTATAAAAAATATATATAATGTTGAAACTTTATAAGAGATATAATCAGTATATTATGTCGGTTCCATCTTTTTTAATGGAATACGTATTTATACACACGAGCGTAATTTTTCAGAAAGCACATACATGTTGTGTAGTATTCAAAAGTATTTGTCCATTCTGTCTTTTCTAATTAAATAAATAGGAGTGATTTGCAATCTTCTTTTCTATTCTTCTATATATTACATTTATAATAATCCTATTTTTCCATATATTAGATTAATAATAATAATAATAATAACAACAACAATAATAATAGTAGTAGTAGTTTGACGACTTAAAATTTTGTATTCTGTATGTAAAGAGATTATAGCAGAATTAGAACAGAATTTAAATATATATATATATATATATATTATATATAAATTTTTATAAGATCAAGATGGGCAAATACTTTGCTCGATAATGTAAATATTCAATTCTGCCGTGTAATTCAATTATCACTTGACATTATCTTTAATCCAGTTTAGGTATTCGGAGACTCGCGTGTATACTCCAGGATAGCCGGGTTCACCACATTTGTGGCCGAACGAGACAATGCCGATTTGTGTCCATCGATTTTCGATCCGCAACATCAACGGTCCACCCGAATCACCTTGACACGCATCCCTGCCGCCTTGTCTATAACCGGCGCACAAAAAGTTGCTAGTGATTGGATGATAGTAAGCCGTGTTGCAGTCCTCATTCTTCCATATAGGTAGAACTGTCTGTCGTAAAACGGAGCTCTCTTTTCCACCTGTTTTATCTTACAAAAATTATTACAATCAAGAATACGGAAACGTAAGAACGGAAACAAGTTTATCAAACTGAAGGTTAGAAATTTATAATTTGACTTCATAAAATAAATATATTCCTAACTAATAGGTCAATTCTAAGCAAACGTATCGTTCAATCGTAAAATCGTAAAATCACAAACTGTAATGCCTGTAACTTTACGTAAAGTTTTTATAGACAACTTTTTGCTAGCCGTAAGATTTACGAGAAATTGTAATATTTACGAACGATCGTATACATTACGATACGCGTAGAATTATAATTCCAGTCTTAAGTTCTTACAAATTTTAAAATTGAAGATGTGTGAGATGTTTCAATTACCGTAGTAAGTGCTGCCCCAACCGGCGACCGTTGGTCTGAAGCCAACCAACGAATCTCCACGAGACTTTGGCAAGCAAATGGGTACCACATACGGCGACCTTCTTACGATGCTGGTAAGTTCGAAGATAGCGATGTCGTTGTGATAATTGACGCGCGTGAACCTTTGGTGCGCATGAATCTTCTTCACTGCGTAAGTCTCTGGCGATGAGGGCTCATCATCTCTTTCTAGATCGATATCGCCGAGACGTACAGTAAACTGGCGAGGAGAGAAACTGTAATCCATCAAGAGATATTTAAGAAATATTTATATGAAATGTATGTACTATATTTGAGCGCATTATAAATTCCAAAATTGTATAAATGTACTTTACTACATATGAATGGGTTGTAAGTGCTGTATTTTACTAATAATTAGCATAAAAATGTTGGTACAAAAATGGGCGATACAACTCAATCATTTTTACTTGGATTTAAGTGTTTTGAAATTTTAATCATTTTTTTTAATTAAAGTTTAATTTAAATTTTTTGCAAATCTCTCTCTTTCTCTCTCTCTTGGTGAAAAAATTTTAATGAAATTTTATTAAAATTTCGATGGTCAAAAGATTCCAAAACTAACATAAAATTTGTTGCAATGTTATTAATTTCATTAAAATTGCATTAAATTTTAAGATTAATTTTGTACAAAATTTTTGCACAAAACTAAAATTGTACTTTCAAAATGCATGTCTCATTTACATTCGTCTTTGAACCTACGTACAATTCACATTCAAGAAACAATTTTATAAATTTGAAAAGTCTCATAATGCAACCTTTTATCGTATGATGAATAGTTTTCTTCTTAGGAGAAAGTGAACTTCGCTGTGTCCTTCTGGTGGCATTACCGCGTTTGACTGTGGAATGACAAAATGACGACATTTCGTAATAAATTTTTGATGAGGTTGCAAAGAAAAATGCAAATACTACTTATGTAATGACAAATTAAAAACGTTTTGTTGAAATTGTAATGAGTTATCGATGAAATTGCAATAAAAAACGAAAATACTCTTTAATGATAAATTAACGATATTTTGTTGAAATTGTAATGAATTTTTGATGAAATTGTAACGAAAACACGTAGGTATATTAGTACCTGCGCTTTTTCGTTGCAACTTCATCAAAAATTCGTTATAATTTTTACAAAATATTGTTAATTTGTCATTACAGATTATCCGCGCATTTTCGTTGCAACCTCATCAAAAATTTATTACAATTTCAACGAGGTGTCGCTAATTTGTCATTACAGAATATTTGATTTTTTTGTTGCAACTTCATCACAAAAAAATTCGTTACAATTTCAATAAAATATCGTTAATATGTCATTACAGAGTATCCGCGCATTTTCGTTGCAACCTCATCAAAAATTCATTACAAGATGTCGTTAATTTGTCATTACATAGAGTATTTGAGTTTTTCATTATAATTTCATCAAAAAATTATTACAATTTCGATAAAATTTCCTTACGTTTTCATTAAACAAAGTTAATAATTTTTTATTAAAATTTTATTGTATTTTCATTGAATTCTCATTAAAAATGTTTATATATAGTTTCTCACACATTAAACACAGAACATTATCTTCTTTCTCTCTCTCAGCAAAATATAATTAAAATTTCGTTTTACAATCATTAAAAATTTTAAATTTTAAAAAGTCAAGTTAATCGAAATTTTATCAAAAAGGACGAGAGCAAACGTCATCGATTTTTCCTTTAACTCAAAATTGAAATTTTTAAAATATTTTTCAGGCTGCAGAATCACGTGAAGCAATTAGTTTTTCTATAAGTATAAAGAACATAAAAAGAATTTCATATAAAATTTTCAACTTAGAAGGAACTTTTGAAATTTTTAAGTGAAAAGACCCGAGTATATACTATTGTTAAATTTTTCTACTTTTTAATTTCTGATTAAAAAGTTGCTTACGGTTGCTGCTCTTTATTGCGCGTGCAATGAGCAGCGGTGAGGATGTGGCGTGGTCCTATCAACGTTCCCCCACACCAGAACTCTGTATTATGTTGCCGGTAGTCGTAAAGAAAGATCGCCGCCATCCAAGGCCAACGACCAGATATCGCTTCTTCGCCCCCGACCACTCGTCCCCGACCACCTGAATATATCATCCCGCACTCTAGACAGATAAACATTTCTAGACATTTATTCGGATAGACTCTAGACATTCTTTGTGTTTCGAAAGAGATCTTTCACAAAATTTCACCTATTTACATTGTTTTCACTTATTGGCTGTGTTCAGCACTAAAAAGGCACTTTACAATTGTTATAGAATTCTTTAATATGCTTGGTCTTTCCCTTAGGTCCTCATTGGATCTAAATGTATAAATCAATCATATTCAAGAATTTTACAACAGTTGCAAAGCTGCTCTTTCTGTTGAACGCAGCCAATAAATGCAAATAATAACATGAAGAGTAAGCTTACTCCTACCCAGCAAACCATGAGTATAACTATTACATATGTAGTGGAAAGTATGCCTCACAGGTGCCAGTCTATTATAGACGCAGCTGGTGACTGGATTCCTTATTAATATAATTGCATTTTGGCAATTATAATCCTACTGAATACAATCAATATAAATTTAAGGCTAATAAGCCATTTTTCTTTGAGATAGACCTGCCACGCTTTTACTAGACAGACTGTAAATATAGATGTAAATATATATTATTTACATCTCTATGTTATATATGTTTACATCTATGTTATGTAACGGTAATACTCATGATTACTGAGAGTATATCATTTGATAAAAATTTTCTTTTAATCGGTTCTATCGATTAAATATTTTAATGCAAAAAATTGAAGTACCATCATCGTCTTGAATCAAATTATTGTCGATTGTCGTTATTGTTTCGAAGCCATTCGTATTGTTAACCAACGGAACTGGTGATAAAATAATATGCGTTGTAGGTCTCGTCGTCGAAGATGTCACTGGATACAACGGTATTGGGCGCGGTGTGGGGGTTTTCGTTGGTCGAATGGTTGGTCGTGAAGGATGTCCAACGTTAATTCCGGAAGACCCACCTCCAGTGATACTGCAACATTCATTCATCTAACAAGTAACCCTATCTTTGTGTTACCCTTACAAAGATAGTGTTATTTGTAAGTACATATTATAAGTTTTTTTACACAAGAAAAAGGATATTTTAATGTTAACTCTAGCTATACACACTTATTTTTTTCTATATTTATCCTTGATGTATATACATTCGGGTCCCTGGGACCTCTATCCATATTTGTTATAATACTATATATAACTTCCGTAAAAAATGGATATATCTTAATTAATTCTTTTACAATTGATGTAAATAATATTTAAATTAAAACTCAATGAAAAAAAAAGTTCAGAAACACGAACAAGTGTTCGAATAATCTCGATTTAGCAAATTATACTGGGATTTTTGGGACCTCATGTGTATAATTAGACAAGTCAATAAAGTTATCCTAAGATTAATGAGAGGGAATACCATACAAAAAATGGCGTGAATGTAATGAAGAATTTACTTGAGAATGGAAGGATTGCTGATTTTGTCTACTGGGCAGCAAACTCCTGGCACAATGAGTCTCTTGAAGCACCACGAGAGTCTCAGCTTGTTAAAATCAAGCAACAATTGTGGACAATTACTGAGATCCTGGCATTTGCCGGATTCACCTTCGGCAGTCGTGCATGAGATTAGAGTGGACTCCTTGTCTCTGTTTTCAAGTTCTTCCACAGGCTGCTGTTGCTGCTGGACCGACGGCGCTTGTGTGGAAGACGTGATCGTTTGCGTTAGTGGCAATGCAACGCCACGCACTAAAGGCGCTATACTGTCCGTCACATTGCGACCTGGAAAAAGATTCAAAAAATTCGTATTCAGAAATGTGTATGTAAGAAAATAATAGAATTGTTTAGCTGTATGTTTATGTGATATTAACTAGTAAAAGTTGACAAAATTTTTTCTTAGAATTCTATATATAATATCTTTTAAAATTTCAATATTTAAAAATTTTAAAATTTTTCTATTATTTCATAGCAAATTTTTCAGATTTTTGTATAATGAATTAAAATACTTTCCAAAAGTGCTGAGAAAGTCTACATCTCTTCTAGTACTTCTTATTCTAAGATTTTTAATTTTTATGTACATAGTATATTTCTCACACACACACATTCTATAATTTCCTTCAAAAACTAATAAAATCTTAAAAAGTTTAAAAGATAAAAATGCCGTTTATAAAAAATTGAACCGGAAAGTCTTCTACCATTTTGCAATAATCGAAACAGTTAATATTAATTTCTCTGAAAATTGCTTTCACCCTTATCTTATATAAATATAAAATATGAGAATTTTTTCATCAGGGAAATGATTGATAAAAAATAAATAAGATATTAATTTAATAGATTAATATTAAAATTTATAATTATATATTAATTTATTAGTTTAATAATAATTTAATATACTAGCTTACCAACTAATTAACATATTGGTTTTTTTCCGTATTACCTAAAATATTTTTAGAGATAGTGTACAACGCTGAGGGTAATTCCTTCGGCGGATAATTCGAGATCTCGACGCCTCTAGTCATATTAACGATATAGTTGCCCACCGTGTTCAGGGCGCCTAGGGTCTCGCTGATGGTAGCCAGAGGATCGCTATGTTCTACCTTTCTCAATTGGGTATATGGACTTTGCGTGTCTCTGCGGGCATACATCTTGTCCGATCTGCTCGGTCCAGAAGGGGTATTCCAGTAGTGTTGCCATCCTCTCCTCGGCGAGACGTACGAGTTTTTGTATCCGTACGCTATGCGATTTTTATCTCATGTGAATCAAAAGCCGGTCGAATAGTTGTAATAAAAAAAAAATCCATGAAAAGATATCGCAAACAGCGAAGCGAAAGCATTTTGCAATTTTTGAGCCTCGTGATCATTGGCTTTATCTCTATAGCAATGTATATATATGTATTATATTTCTGCAAAGTTTTAAAACGGAGAAGTTCGTATTCGTTGATTACGCACTTACAAGATTTCTAATTCTCAATATGAGAATGAGTGTTGTATAAATATATATTTTTAACTACTGTAAAATAATACGAGATTAAAAGAATCTCATCACCTACAGATGTCGAAAAATAAAAAATTTTATTAAAAAATTCTGCAAATTTAAATAATTTTTTTCTTGTACTTTACGGAGTAAAATACATGATAACCATAACATTTAAATGTTGAAAAATAGAAATATCTTGCACATCAGTATAATTTTGTGACATTATAAGTATTGTCAATAAATTTGCTACGATAAAGAGATTTTATACCATTATAATAATTTTCATATATTGTAAAAAAATACTTAAATTTCTTATAGCTCTCTCTCTCTATATAATATATCTTATATAGCATTATATAATATCTCATATAGTAATATCATAACAAATATCTTTCCATTGCAATGATATTTAGCAGAAATATCACTGAAATATTACTGAGATGTCACAGAGTATTGCAATTATTAGATATTTACGCCAATAAGGATATTTCTACTGAGAAGAAAGTTACTTACGATAAGTGCGGTAATGCACGACTTCTTCGGTATATGAGATAGAACTAGCAAATAGACTCCATATTATGCACAGGCCTGAAATATGAATATTACATAAATTATTATATGAATTACGTATGTATATAATCAATAAATATATAACTAACATTATATTTTATGATACTTATAACGTTATATCATAATTAATGTTATTAATTTGAAGATATAAATTATACATAATTAGGCATTTACTATAATGTCATCACGTTATAGTTATTATAGTATAACAGAGTATTCCATCACTGATGACAGATATTTCCTGATGAAAAAATTGAACTGAAGTTATTCCACGTTTTGAAATTTTCAGCAAAATTGCTAAAAATTTGCTGAAATTTAACTGAAAGTGAATTTTTTAGCCAACATTAAAAAATTGCTAAAATAAAACTGAAATTTTACCGAAAAGTTGTTCCAAAACATGGAATAATTTTAGCAAAATTTTTTAACCAAATACAATCAAAAATAATTTGTTTACATTCATGACAATTACGAAGTTCTTCGTAATTATTTAATATCGGAAATACTGTAACATAAAACACGTCGTTATTAAACACACTTGATTGTGCTTTTTATAATAAAAACAGATGCACTTGTCATATGTCAGACGCATTATATAATGTGAAAATACATGCTGGGACACTCTTGACCTTCGGAATTTCATACCTGAACGTGACGCACTTTATATTTGCGTCATAAATACTTTCTCTAAAATTAAGGAAAAGATACATAATTACAGAAAATATCTGGGTCTATATTCTATACATATCTATAATACCAACAATTGTCGGTGTCGTTAAGTAGCGATAACCAACATCACATTTAATAAATGTATCTACTTTTAAGAGTATTATAAAAAACACGATCAAATGTATTTAATAAATGTGAGATTAAAAATGCATGACTTGTGAGCGGCGAGAAAAATTTTGGTGATAAAAACACCAGTCTTTACAAATGTCTTATAATTAATATTAAAATTAAATGCTCAATTAAGCAAACATGTTAAGTACCGTCAATTAAATATTTTGACGCTATGTTTAAATAAAAAACAAATGCTTTGAGAAATGTTTCTAAATAACTATAAACGATCTTGAGATTATCATTAGGCGGAATTCTCACGATTCGGATCTAATTCCGGTTCCTTGAACTCAATTCACCATCGTGAAAAGAGAATTTTAAGAACTCTTCTTCAGCCATAGCAGCAAAAAAAAAAAACTGGATTTCTCGAGAGAAGAAGGAAACGATAAAGAGAAAGAAAAAGGTAAAGTAGCTGACTGGCTATAAGAGGTTCGAAGGAAAACAAATCGATTTGGGATCTTAAATTACACGTGACCCAATTATAAAAGAAGTCTTTTTGAATATGAGTACAAACACGCTATAGGACGGGTTTTCTTCGAACCTTAAGGCGGGAGAATTTTGAAAGAACGCAAGAGTGGTAGTATATCGCAGTGTTTCGTGTATTTATTATTAATTACGTGTCTCAACCGGACGCGTAGAAGTATTAAGATTTTTCGAAACTAGTTTCAGAGCGGCGGCCCTCTCATCGACGGTGAAAGTCACTCGGCATGAAAGTGGGCCTTTCTTCTTCCGTTCACTGAATCATACCGTCTGGATACATCAAAGAGAAATACGGCCGCGGTGAGGACGATAACGTGTTTCTCGGTGATTCGGAGACCATAGTATTCATAGTCTGTCCTTATTTCAAGACAATCTTAAGGATTGCCACGTACACCTTCCGTAACAATATAACCGTAAGACATAACGTAAGAATTAGCCAACCAGAATTAAGAGTTCAAAAGAATTCTCGACTGTAATTAGCTTATTCTTTTAATCCTTTCCTTATCGGGTACGCATCCGCGAGTAAGCTTTCTCTGTACCGAGGACTCTCTCTCTCTCTCTCTGCCGCCAAAAACTTCTTTTTATTTTACAATATACCTAACAAAAAAAGGTCGTTGTTTTGTTATGTTGCATCGCCGCAAAATTATTGCGTGCGTGCGTGCGTGCGTGTGTGTGTGAGAAAAAGAGAGAGAGAGAGAGAGAGAGAGAAAGAGACAAATGGCTCGTTTCTGAACTTATAATACTGGAAAGAGGGAATGCGGACATCGAGCTGTGAGTACATCTAAAGGACAGAAACATCTTTCTATCCTGCTCGGTGACTATTCTTCTTTATGCGCATGACCATCCTCCGTCAATCGAAATTAAATATATGTGAGACACGTGCTTCTTTTTTAACATCTACGAATAATACCTCAAATTTAATTGCATTGAAAAACAGAAAAAAATTAACAATTTCTTCAGAAGACATAAAATAATCATCCTATCTTTGTTTAAAAAAATATTAAAGATTCTTAGCGTTATAAAAATCGTTAATGCTGTGATTGATTGTGCTTTTATGCATGATGCTATGTTTGAACATATATATATTATAAAAAACCAAGAAATTTTCGATAATCATACAGCTATAATAAAATGTATCATTGAAGTTTATGTTAAAATACGTCTGTATCACGAAGCAAAATTCTCAAATGTCACTGAAAAAAAACAGTACATACGCTACAAATATTTAAAAATGATACATTTTTATTATCAGTAAGTTATTTATAAGTATTTTTAATTTCCATTTTAATCATCTATAAGTATTTTTCTATAAGTTTTTGGTGATAATTCCTATATATAATTATACTTTTTATGTATGTACTCTCTTTATAATATTCGAGTCATATTTTATATAATTCAACATATACATATATATTCTTAAATCTTAACATTTTTCCTTTTTATTCAATATAAATTTTTACCCTTCATATATAGTTTGTACTTAATTAATTTATTAATATTAATTAATTAATATTTATGTTTTATAAGATAAGATAAGAGGAGATTAAAATACCGCGTCTAACTTCGCACATGTGCAGAAAGAAGAAAAGCCACTGAGGCAGGACAGAAATACATCTTCTATCTTTCAAATGTTGCTCACTGCTTGGATAGGGTATTCCTGTACCAGTATTACAAGTTCTATACGTTTCTGCAATAATAAGAGGAAATATAATGAAAGAAATAAGAGGAAAATTTTTGAGCTTAATATTACATATGGGATTGATCTCCTTTATTCTCAGCTGTAACAAGCGTTACAAGGCCGCGCTCCGATTATGTGCATCAGGATTGTTTATCTTGCGGCATGCGGGTTGAAGTTGCATTGCATCACCCCTCGACCGATCATACTGCATCACAGTAAAAATTATTTTGCATTTTTGTCAAGCAGGATCTCATCAATGTCTAAATTAATTTATAACATTCTATAAATCATATAAGGGTACGTGTTATTCCGCTACTAGACATATCTCAGCTGAATAATTTCACGTGACTTAAAAAAATGCGGCCACTTTTGAAAAAAAATCTTTTTGTGATGCACGGCATTTACGATACATACTCGTATTTACAAAATATATATGTGTATTTTTGCGTTGTATAGAACATATATGTACTTATACGCATAGTAATGTGCTGAAAGTTATGTGCGTGCGCGATACATACGCGATATACAAATCCCGTAATTTTATTTGCGACATTATGTGGCATATATGAAGGAGAAAAGGAAAACATGTCCGGATGTATGCCAACGTTTAAATTTCCGAATGACGAGTTTGTGTTCGTGACGTGACGATTTTACGAGTCTTAATCAGAGACTATCCACTTCTTTTCTTAAAAAAAAGACATACAATAATTTTTCATTTCGAAAATGTTATTTTGTAATTTTTGTAAGATATACAAAGATACATATTAAGCGTATACATAAAAAACAATTAAATAATCATATAATTATTTATTTTAAACACAAGATATATTATATGTAGTTTGTCTTGAACAATAATTTCAATTGATAAGGTGATCACTAATCGCAGATCTTCGAATTAATGATATCAGGAGCAAAATAATAAAAATTCTTGCAAAAAATATGTTAAAATAAAAATATTTTAATAATACAATATTTGCATTGGAAAAAATACATTTGTAAAATATATTGAAAACTTTTCTTTTATCTCGGAATAGATCTATTAATCTCGATTCGACATTTATTATATGTGCTACAATAAATGCTATGAGAATACTTGATGAGACATAATCCAAGTAAAAAATATTTATTTGAAATATTTATATTTAAACATATAAATATTGCATAAAATATTTAGTCTATATATTTTAATAATATTTAGAATAAAGCATTATATAAAATATGTAAGCATTTCAAAAAATGAATAGTAATAAATACTTATCGAAAATATTCTGTGTGTTGTTTGGGTTTTAATTTTAACATCACAATCCAAGACAGCTGCAGTGAGAGTAAAGAAGAGCATTAAACATTTACTTTTAAAAAATTAGAATTATTTATGTAAAAATATGCGCATACATTTTATAAAAAGATTAGGTTCAATTAACATTAGACTAATTAAGATTTGCAATGCTTTTGTACAACCGATTGGGACAATTCAATTTTTTTCAAATCTGTGTCGCACACTAATGAATCATGTAAGATTATACTATTATCAGACTAAAATTTAGTGTGTTTTAGATGCGGTATTTGAAATCCAAATCCCGACAATGATCTACAAGTAAATCCACAAAAGTTAAGTAGTTATATCCCAAACAATTAATTCGTGAGACATTAATGAGAAAACTGACGCCGCGCAAGGTTTCGTTCCATTAGTAGGACAGCAGGATCTTGGTATCATTAGACAATCAGCGACGACGGCAAACTCCAGCTAATCCGAGAAAGTGAAAATCGGACCATGCACAAGGCGCAGAGAATTTACGAACGGTGTTCGTAATTCAGGCCACCTTCGACCCGCGACTCCCGCAAAACGTGAGTCCGTTTTATTGAAACAAATTGAAATAAAATCATGCGTGTTCCGAAATTTAATTAAATTAAATTTCAAACAAATTTAAGAATAGCAGTAATATTACTCGATAGGATTTTTAAGTACAAATAATTACAAGTATAAAGCAATAAATGAGATGTTTACAGCATATTGAAGAAACACAAATCATTAGGACATTATTCTATTATTTCCAAATGGTCGACGAAATACTTCCGAAAGATCAATTCATATACGAGTAATACACATATATTCCAAAAACCGTTTGATTCTAAATTTTATATTTAGCTATAAGTGTAATACATTATTTATGCAATATTTCTACATTATAATTTAGAAATAAGATTTGTACATTTTTTTTTATTGAACACAATATTATATTTTCATAATAAAGCTAAAATATTTTTTTCAATTAATGGATCATTTCTTTCCAAATTTGATTTGGCAAATATGCCGCTAAAAGGATTCGCTATATCATTATTGTTTTATGATTTTTATACAAAATATTATATTAAAATATCAAAATTAATTGCGCAATCAGCTTTAAGAATCAATATTTTGGAAAAGATCAGAGTTTCGTACATCTATTTCTGTAAATATAAATAATATAAATATACCCGTATAATTGTATATATTTTTCATTTTTCATTAGCGACTACAGTATCTCGCGGATTCATTTACGCCTTAGTCTTTTTTTCACTGGACCGAAAATAATAATGGACGAAACTCAAAAAGCGATTCCTTGGAAGACACGTATTACTAAGAGGAGATATGTAAATAAATCGCTGTCTTACTATCGACGCATCGACACGTCGATTCGCGAACTCCATTTTCACTTTTGAAATCTATACTACGCCAGCAGTCATGTACTTTTACATATAATATCCGCAGTCACTGTTGCGTGACGTTCTATCGTCAATTCGTCCAAGCGCAACCGGTTGTGGTGGTCCATTATCATCGATATTCGCATTTTCACATCTTTGCGCGAAAATTCCCTTGGATCTCGGCAAGATTAAAAAAAGGAAAAAATCTCACTTACTTATGGCCATTGATGAAGACATCTTCGTTCGAAGGGAAGAGGGAGAAACTTATCTCGCGGACATCCCCCGGTATTTGTTTGTTTACAAAGTCGCGGATGGCATCTGTAACACCCGGGGCCGAGCAAGAGACGCGGTCGAACTATTTTAGCTAAGAATTGTCGGAGAGCATCAGCGAGTTATGCATGATGTGTAGAAAGCGGCGAGAGAAACAGAAAGAGGGAGAAAAAGAGAGAGAAAGAGAACGAGAGTGACAATTGTGGCGGAGAGGTGGCACACAACACCGACAGTAAAAAGGAAAAAAAAAAAAAAATGAAGAGAAAGAAGAGATCGGTAAAGGAAGCAATCGCGGCTGCACGGGACAGACGGGCCACGAAACGACTGTGTCCGTGAAAAGACCTCGACACACTTTACTCTCGACCGAGGCTCGCGGCCAACCGATCGGTTCACTCTCTCCCGTTCTTCCTCCTTCTTTCTCCGGAGGCGCCGGTCCCTGGTCTCCTCAAGGGAAAGTGGTGTTCCTTCTACTACCTTCTAAACAGCCGATACTCCGCCTTTCGATGACGATTCCTCACAGCGACGCGCAGGAATGCACCCGGAGCTGACGAGTCGTTGTCTTCTTCAGCTTCTCTCGGGTCCATCTTAAAGGTGATCTATTCAAGAATGTGCGTTACGTAAGAGGTACTCCTATCTGAGGAAATAAACAGGACTGGATCGTTAGACTCGATTCAGCGTGATACTGTCGGGTCAGATTTCAAAGAAGGGTTCCGCTTGCGTGGTGTTTACTTTTGGAAAAAGCTGGAAAGAGAAAGTGTGGACCAAGCGTAATTTAGTAGTAGTGTTGGTTAAATTTATTTACGTTGCTGCTGCGACAAACATTTCGTCGCTACATCAAGTTCCTGTATTTTCGCTGTATAAAGTAGGCACAGCTACCGCAACTCTCAACGATACTCTCAACGATACAATTTGCCTTTTATGATCTCGAAATCCAATATACGAATTCCGATCATAATCCGATAAGGAGAGAATACTTCCTTTTCGATAAGAATTCAAAAAAATTATATACGATACAATATTCTTCATTATACATTAATCTTTTATCATTATAGTCTATTAAGACAAACTCGTTTAAGATAAACAGGTGCATTTATAGCCTCTACATCTCTCTCTCGTTAAAATCGATCGCGTCTCAAATGACAATAGAGCCAGCCGACGATCAATATCCGCAAAGTAAATAGATAATTTACAAACCGATAGGAAAATAAGTAGTACTTCACCTCATAGGGACACTTTAATGGACTCTATTAACACATGTACAAAAATTCATTAGATATGAATAGTTAGAAATGTGTCACATGGTGTATCATGCGAAATGGACACATGTATAAGAGAAATGATGATAAGGAGCGTGTATAATTGCAAACTATGACGAGTTCGCTCTTCTTGTATAATATTATGCACAATATAAATTTTGTATAAAATTGACACTTTACTCGATAAAATGTATACGCGTGATTTTTCTTTTCCAATTGATCAAGCTGGTGCGGAAACAGAAAGCATTTCTGATAGTTGAAATTTTTATACTTTCAAAACCGGACGCTCTGCAATTTGTGCAATTAACAACTTGTCGTAGTTTATTCGCGTATTATGATTAATTTCTTCACTTCCAAACAAGATAGCTTTATCCAGGAGTATACCCAGGATATTTCCATTGTATTCTAGATATCTCCTGGATAAAGATTATTTAGAGGTGAAAAAATTAGGCATTAGACTATTCCGTATTCTGTAGTCGCTAGTCAAGATGTTCGGGGAATTCCGCGAGTGTTCTGGTTATTTAAACGAATATTCGTGATCGCGAAATGTCGCGTAGTTTAATAATCAATATTTTCTCATGGGCATAGACGATTTGTACGCCTCGAACCGTTCATATGACTGCGCTGTCCCAGGTGCAGCCAGTCCCATAGACTGCATCGGTCCACTCTGATACGTCGGCGGAATCGGATGTCGCAGTGTATTTCCCATACTACTCGAGTTGCTCCATCTGTAATAAGCACACGATTATTTAGCTTTTTCCATGTCGGAGACAACACAGAATATTTATAAAAATAAATATTTATTTACTATTTATTTTTTGAAATCAGGGTTGGCAAAGACTAATGTTTTTTTGTTAAAGAATAAAATATTATGTTTCTTTTTAAACATGTTTGCAATTCTTCAAATACACTTTAAGCAATATTATCAAAAGACATCGATTAAGTATGTTTTAAAACGTGTTTTTTATCAACCCTCTATTAAAATGTTATATATATTTTTTTTTTTTACCAGTAAAACTTCCTCTTTATAGTCAGTCCCAAATGATTTCCTAGTAACCTTAACCTTGACATTGACCTTCAAGAAGATCAAAGTCATTGATCTTCTTCGTTATTTATTAAAAAATTATTAACAAAAAAATTTGAACACTGATGACTCTTTTCTATTAAATAAAACTTGCCCTTGCTTCACGTTGTACAGTATATCTGTCATTCCGACTCGCTGCAGCGCTATGTATACGTATACTATACGATTTCAATGAGAAAATACCGCAACTTTTTAATAATAGCTTCTTTATACTCATTAAATGATGTATCATCAAGTAATGAATAAAATTTAATACATTCTTCATGCTGGAATGTATATGTTGTGTTAAAAAAATGTTCTATCCATAAAAATGATTTTGTTAATAACGTTTTAATGAATAACAAGTGACGGAAAAGATCGATGATTTTTACCTTCTTGAGGATCAAGGTCACTCAAATTTGATTGACTGTGTAAAGGGAAGTTTTACCATATTTTTATTTATTATAACATTTACAATAAATATTTCATGATATTTGTGATAAATGTTTATGATCTGTGCAATCTAAGACGAAAATATTTACAAAATATTAAAAAAAATAAGTAAATCTTATAAATATTTACAAATATATTATAAATATCGTGTGCTGTCTGAGATGACATCTAAAAACATCTCGTCTTATCGCGATTGTATCGCAAAATAAAGTAAAAAAATCACACGTACTAAAAGTTACATCTGTGAATCAAGTATAGCTTACCTGTTAACGCCCTCGGATGATCTGGAACTCCAACTAGAAGGCTCGTTGCGGGGATCGCGAGACCCACTGCTTGTCACAGAGTTAAAGGATTTTGAGGATGTAGGTCCCGAATGCCAACCACTTGGTGTACGATTGCTTTCCACGTAACGACTTTCACCTGCATATAACAATAGCACGCAAGAATGAACGACGGCGTTATTATTATTTTTATTAGTTTACTATAACTGAAACATTTATCTCTTTCTATGTTTTTCGTAAGATATATAAAAATTATTTACCAAAACGTTCACCAGCAAAAAAAAAGTCAATTATACAATCTTATTAAAATATAAGTTAGAATTTTATTACATTAATTCTGCTTTCGTATTACTTGGTATGCTTTATAATAAAAACTATATTAATCACGCTTGTGGCAGGCACAACTAATGTGTGTTTACGTCGAGTATCGCATAGCATTTATTAGATAAACCAGAAAAACTTTTGTACATTGCTTTGATATCCTGTTCATAAAAGCTGAAGACTGATATCAGGTTCAACTAACTACAATGAAAACTCAACAAAAATTATATAAATTTTTATTATGAAGCATACACATTTATAAAAGAGAATACAAACTGGATTTGAAATGATAATGAATTTCTGTACAAACTTTAATAATAATGAATAAAAAAATATCAAACTAAAATACTTAAAAATTAAGAAACTTAAATCTTAATTCTTAATATAAACTTCTGAAATTATTAAGATCAAGTAAAATTCTATTTCTCCTTTTGTGTATGTGTGTTTACTGAAATATTTCTATTCATACATACATATGCACAGTAATAAATAAAATAATTTTAATTTTGATTATTGAAAAAAAAAATTATTTTTCTATATAGATACTCTGGAGACACAATAGTGTCTCGACGCTATAAATTTAACATTACTTGTAATAATGAACACAAACTTTAATAAATTATATGAATTTGATAAATAAACTTTAACATAAAATTAATACTTTAACATAAACTAAACAATTATTATGTTTAATAATAAAATCTAATAATAAAAATGATGAGTTTAAAATACAAAAATATTTGTATATGAGTTGATGTGTTATAAAAACCAAGAATGTTTTTTAAACAAACCTAATTAAATAATATCTCTATTATGTATTCGGTTAGCTTTAACGTTTTTATAACTTAATTACATATAACGTGTGCTCGTAACTATATAAACTATTTCTATCTTCGAAAATGTTTGGCACTTTAAATGAGATTTGATATATGTATATATATCCCTTCCATTTTTTCATATATTTACATTTTCTCCTTCACAGATATCATGAAACTATAAGATATTTTTCTATAATAATAATATTTATATATTGATAAAATCCATTTCTTAAAATCATTGAAATTGTTTGCGTGAAAAATATACAAATTGTGAAGAAGAAACGATTTCTTTACTATAGTTTACCTATTTTTTCTGTATGTATCAATTTTTCTTACTAAAAATGATAAAATTAAGCTTTATGTTTCTTAAACCTCAAAAATGTCATTGAGTAAAGCTTATTTGGAGCGCATATTTTATTATATATCGTCCAAGAATTTCAAATCAAGGATACTCTAGACGAAAATAAGTCTACGTGTATAATATCAGGTCGTATGTATATATTCTCTTCTGTCAGAAACGTTCACGAGGATGTTTTGGCTACTGTATTGCTTCCTTACTAAACGTAATGCCTATATCCTGTGTACAAAATTAAAGAGTAACCATCTAAAAATGGTTCAGCATAATATCGATTATAAAAGCAGAAAAAGAGATAAAAATTCCTAGTGTTGGGTATTAAACTACTTCTCATACATATACGATTTGTTTCATACTTACGTGGTGTGCTTGATGTCGGAGGTTTGAAACTATCACTGTATCGCGTATGAGTATCTCTAGAGCTTCGATGTGTATCAGGATCGGAACGTCGTACTTCGCGTTCGCGAGTATACGATGTGGTATTCGGACGATCATATCTATGTAAACCCAAACAAGGAATTTGATTAATTCACAATTCACAATACGACTTCACTCTCACTTTATAACTTGAAGAGTACAACACGTACCTTTCCTTGACTTGACGAGGATCTAAGGACGAAGACGTGGTAGATAAACTTTCTCGTCGTACAATAACTTCTCTTCCTCGAGAAACATCGGAAAAGCTGTCTGGTCGACTGTTTCGTGAAGAAAAATCGCTACTTCTCTTGAATTCTTTTTTCAATCCCAACTCTTGAGTAGATCTGAAATATATTTCATAACATTGTCATTGTTTTATGCAAAATTGGATTGTTTAAAAATTTCTATAAAACATTTTTTAAATTACATTTTATAATTTTTAAAGAAGTAAAGTTTAAATTTAGAATTTTACAGTAATTTAATTTAACTTTAGATTAATAAATTCCTTGATAATAATTTTTCCGACTTTTCCCGGTTTTTCCTGATTTCCCTGACCGCTAACAGCCATGCATAATATATTTTTAATTCAAAATTGTTTTAAAATATGAACTTTAATAAAATGTTAATACAACATAAATTTTAATTAAAAAAAATTGTTCAAGTTTACCTGCTGGATTCGTATCGAGATGGTGGCGAAGGGTCCAATCGTCTATCTGACACTCGCTCCAACATCTCGTTTCGCCTATCGACAATTCTTTCCGGGCTATGCCTGCGGCTATGTTCTGTAGCTAATCGTTTTCTATCAGATTCCGTGTACAAATCCCGCGGATCTCTCCTATCGGTAGACGATCTCTTTATAGACGGTGGCGGTGGCGCGCGTCGGCTCTCCTCCAAACGCATCTGCTGCCTCTTCAATTCCAATCTTTCGCGCTCGAGCTTTTCCCTCTCGAGTTTTTGCCGCTCACGCTCGAGTCGTAGTAATTCGGCTTTTTCCTGTTCGATCCGTTCTCTTTCTCGTCTCAACTTTTCTCGTTCTCTCTCCAAGCGCGCAGATTCTTCTCGATGTCTACGCTCTATCTCTCGCTGACGTTCCAAATCTTCCCTTCTTCTTCGCTCTTCCTCTCTTAGCATTCGTTCTCTTTCGCGCATTCTTTGCCGCTCACGTTCTTCCTGAAAATTCATTCAAGATTTTGTCTTTTACACGATTTATTCTTGCTACTAATATTCGGAATCGAAAACTGAAAATATTTACTCTAATCTTAGCAAATGTGAGAACATCATCTCGCTTCCGTCGTTCGCGGCTCCGAGATCGACTATGAGATCGGTGATCTCTCTCCCAAGTACGAATCCGTTTATCTTCTCGTCTTCCTCTCTCACTTTCCGGTTTCTTGCTGGTAGACTTTGTCGATCGAGAATCGGACTCTTTGGACAGATCTTCCTTCTTATCTGCCATTTCCATTTTTATTTTTACGTCGATACTTTCATTTTTGTCATCAGATTTTTTTGCTAAACAAACATAATATATATAATCGATCAATGTCTATGTATGTTTTTAGAAATTAAAGACTTATAAATATTACCCGACTGAAATAAGTTTTCACAATAAATTATTTACAGCTTTAAAATATGCTTATTAGCTATATTGCTTGTCAAGTTTTTATATTACTACCCCAATTTTGCTTATAATTACATTTCAAGACTGAAAATGATTTCAACGCGCAATTTGCAGAGCGGAATATATAAATTTACACCGAAATATCATTTAAGCACTAAAGATTTTGCTTAGATAATTAAGGCTTTAATCATTCAGTTGTGTATTTATAGTTACGGTCTTAACATGCTTCGTTTACTCATTAAAAAAATAATTTTCCCCTATTAGAGTATATTATACTGCAATAACATTTACTAGTATCTAATCCTTTCTCTTCAGGTTCCTTCTTTATTTCCTTCTCCTTTCTTTCATTTATATCATGATCTTTCGGCTTTTCTTTCTCCTCTTTCTTTTCCGATTTACCATTAATTGTATCACGTTTACGTACGTGACTTTGTTGCGAATCACCTTTTGCCTGTGAAAGAATTTATAAGTTTTAAGAATACTAAAGATTAAAGAACAAATTTTATTTTAATGACGTCGCAATCAAAAGATCATAATTTACCTTTTCGACGGAAATGACGCGTCCATGAAGCTCAGTTCTATGCAAATACTGTATACATTTCGCAGCATCATCGCTTGAAGACATAGTAACATAACCGTAACATCTCGCTCCTGGAGTTCTCGCGTTTGTTACCACTTTCGCGCCTATGACCTTGCCGTACTTCGAGAAGACTTGCTTCAAATCAGTCGCACGAGTACTGGACGATAAGCCAGATACCCATAGATTGCGACTGCTTGCATTGGTTGGATTGATTTGAGATGTCTTCTTATCTACGAAGGATGAAACATATGTTTATGTAAGATTTTTTATAGAACTTGCAATTCTTCTTCCCTTTTGCAAAAGAATAGATTGCATTCAAGAACTGAACAAAAACAACTTACCTTTCTCTTCTCTCTTCTGACTCTTATTGCTAGACTCCACGCTAAAAGAGATAATATTGTCATTACAACAGAAAACTACAAACCATAACAGTTCTGATAAATAACCAATTAATTAAGACTATAAATGTGATTAATAAGTATCTCTGTAACTACGTTAAGGACATAAATTTGGCTAGCAACTTGTTTTTAAGTGATACGACTTAGACTTTTTTGGGGAAGGTTTCACTCGTATATCATCTCGAATGTTATCAGTTCTATTTAGATTATTGAATCAGTATTCACTGTGTTCTTTGTTCATCCACTTTTGTCACTCATGCATAAGGAAAGCGTCCATGCGGTAATACATTCAGTTCTAAGTATCCATAAAAGGATCGTCTGTTGCATAGTTCTTCTGACAGGATACTTCTTGCCACAATTGGGAGTTCTTTTAACGCTTTTCTCTTTTTTTTTTTTTTTTTTTTAAATTAGTATCTTCAGTAAGCAATAGGATTGCTTCTTGACAGTACGAGGACTTTAGTACGCTTTGCCGAATATAATTTACCACAAGATACTAATGTCCTTTGTATAGTGATGTACGATGAAATTGCTGCCATTCAATAAAACGAATGAATGTCCTCGTCGTGTAAGGAACACAACACACAGAGCTCGTCAGGTTTTTTTCTTGGTACAAAGTATACATATAATCGCTTTGATTAAATATGCGGAGGAAAATGCAAGCGACATTCGAAAGACTTTAAGTCTGCTAGCCAAGTTCTTGATTTCTTAACATAATTTCCAGAGTTTAATACAATACCCTACAGGGAAAAACACAGATTGGAAGATTAACTTCCAAGATTCGATTTAAAAAAGGGGAATTAAATATAATCTTGCATGTGACGTGAGTGACCTCATCTTGGAAATCCATTGTCCTGACGGTATAGAGAGAGAGAGAGAGATAGAGAGAGAGAGATATTATTCCGATGATACGGTTATGCAGCAGTAGAACATCCCTAGCAGAGTCGTGAGCGACATATTTTCAGTTTGCTGTACCACAGTACTGCGAACCGTACTTTTTTAGCTCTATGAGAGACCAACCTCTTGCTTCCTCCATCTCCTCCCTCCTGCTTGATCTTCGTCCCGTTCGCACCGGACGTCGTCCCTTCCTTGCCGCTGGCGCCAGGTTCCGCTCTACCGCTGCCTTTAGGGTCTCCCTTCTTGTTGTTCTCTTCCATTTTCTTCTTCTCTCCACCATCTACAGGGACAATCAAGGTAGCATAGTCACTTTATGCGAAGCCCAGACTCTTCTCCCTCCCTCCTAACATCTGCTGCTTTTGTGACTTCCAGTCAGGAATTTTGGCCGAGTCACTAAGAAATTCACACAGCAAGTAACGATGTGGCTTGTACGATACTACGAGCCACAGGTCTTCAATAGCATCGATTTGATCCAGAGAACCTAAAGCTTTCTTGTCGGTTTTACATCGATTTTAGACGTGCACGTACACGCTTGCGCGCAAAGCTACCTTCGCATTTTTTTCCACGAAACATTTAATTAAAAATCAAATTTAAAAGCAAAAGAAAAAAGAAAAAATAATGATAAATGTGTCGCAGAACGTGCTTATCATTTTCGTGAATTCACATTGCTCTATGTTGATAAAATGATTCCTGTGATAGATTACTATTCTCGCGTATGGAAAACGTTTGAATGTATACATGTGACAACGACTCTTCGAAGAGGCACAAATGATTCGAAGATACTGGTCAAACCTCATGTCATGTGATAATTTATAGTTTGCGACAAATATTTGCTGGTGTATACTTGAGTCTTCCTGTATCCATATGAGTCGATGATAAGAGAAATCCAACGATGCTCTATGTGGTAGGTATAATTAATGTAATTGTATATCAAATTATAGCGTTAACTAACTTAAAGACTACGGGATATGGCTTGTTTGCTCGAACAGTAGCACGGGAATGTCGGGAGATGTACACTGTTTATCCCAGTTGAAAACCTTCCAAACCATCGATCACCATGTGTTTATCCCTGTTGAAACGCCATTTCTGTCGCCAGCTTGCACTTCAATGATAGTATGCTGTGTCTATCGTGGCTGCGCTATATTGAATCCAGACGTTGAGACAAGTTCACGAGGCTTGAAGGCCGGAACTCATAGGACGAGGAAGAAGTTGATTGCGGACGATCCCGTCGTTGCCCTTGTTCCAGATGCTTGCACGAATACGTTCTTGACGCTTGCTCTTGACACTGGCGCTTTCGCTAACTTACTCGGGATGCCGCAGATACAAATATCGCTTGATACTCTGAATACTTATATCTAAATTTAAAAAGTAATACATAATGGTGAACTTACCTTTGTGTCTGTCATGAGATTCTGTCTGTAATAAGAAAACCATTTGTTAGAAATGATTTAAAATATTTTCTTATCTACAATCATCGGAATTAAATATAAATGAGTATATAATCCATACGCAAAAGCGACTACATTTAAAAATATATGTAAAAATTAAATAACGGAATCTCTGGATTCTTTAGAATCTTAAACGTTCTAAAAATGTACTGATAGTTATATGAATCCTACAAAACAAGATAGTCTAATTACAAACAAATTAAATTCTTAAATTTCTATTGTTGCAAATGCAAAATTGTTATTAGTATTTTTAATACAAATTGAAATAATTTTTTCCAAAATCAATTAGAATACTTTCTTCAGCTTTTAACAAATAAATATTATAAACTACTCAACAAAATTGAAGGATCACTTATTCTACCCTGCAAAAATAAATAAATTTCGAGATAGAATAACTTTGTCAAAAATTATCATATCGAGATTTTTAAAAAAGCGTTTTAAAGCTTGAAACCTCTACTATTACTGATATTTCATAAAGTTACACAAACATAAATGAAGATGCATCAAATCTCAAAATTTTTTACGAAATTTCCGAAGTTTCACAGAGTTAAGTAAAAATGCACAAATGCGATTTATAGCTTTCGAAAGAGTGAATTTTTACTTTTAATTTGCTTTTTTGTTGAGCTCTGTACGATTTTTGGTAAATATTGACAAAAGGAGTTTCTTGGTAAATATTGACAAAATCATCCTCCAATGACCTTGACATATGTTATCAAGGTCATGACTCTGAGTAACCTCCAACAGGTTTTAGCCATCGCTCATTCTTCGTTAAAAAATTATTAACAAAAAAAGTTTTAAAGATAATGTATCATTTCTGTAAAGGGGTATGACTTTATGAAATATCAGTAATACGGTTTTTTTTTTAAGTACAAGTCTAAAAAGTAGAGATTTCAAGCTTTAAAATGCTTTTTAAAATATGATGATTAATTTAAGATATGATTTTTGACGAAGTTATCCTATCTCGAAATTTGCCTATTTTTTGCAGGGTGGGACAAATGATCCTTTAATTTTGTTGATTAATGTATTTCACATGCCATGTTATGCACATTTTTTTTTTTAACAATGAATTTTTAATTAAAAAAGTCTTATTGTGGTAACTTAAATGAGAAAAATTACACTAGTTTTTTTGCTCATAAAAAATTTTTGAAATAGATATGATGACTCTTGCCATGGGCAAAATCCATACAATTTCTCAAAAAAAGATTTCTCTTTTTTTTTCTTTAAATTTAAATCATACCTCCTCAGCTAGGAGATTCTCCTCATCTTCTCCAATAGTCAAATTAATAGAGTCCTCATTGTCAATTCCATTAGCTTCAACAGTGGCAGATGGCGCGTCTGAGGTTTGATTTGAGATAATCTTCTCTGCCTCATTTTTCTTGTCGTTGTTCTGTGCACTTTCACCTCCAGCCTTGGCTCCTTGCACTTTGTCCTCTAATTTTTCCACCTTAATAATAATATTCTTAATTTCAAGTTCGGGTACCTGAACAAAAAAATTCAAAGTAAATCATTGATTTTGAGCAATAAATCTAATTCTAATTTAATTATTATAAAATATCTTAAATATCAATATGTATGCAATACCTCTTTCGCTTCTTTCTTGATAATTTCTTTTTCATCAAGTTCTTCTGTTTTTATATCTGTTTTTATTTCCATCTTAGGTTTATCTGTATTATCTTGTCCATCGATATTTTCTTCTTTTTGATTATCAGAGCATTCAGTAGAATCTTCTTGACTCACAGCTCCTGCAATGATAAAAAATTTCAACAAATGATAAAAAGTTTTATCTCGACTCAACACATCGAAATTCAATACATTCATATACAATATATTAACATTCTATTAAACCCATTCCACAATTGCGTAATTGTAAGTAATCGCAGTAAAAATTGAACAATGGAATATTCTCTTCCTATTCGATTGTAATTAATCAATTCTTAAGGCTCCTGAGTACTCACCTCAGCCATTTTTAATCGTGACGTCATAAACGAGAAATGTATTAAGCCTATTCTACAATGACCGTAAGCCACAAAAATTGACCGATCGTAATTGATTATTCTCCTCATATTCGATTACGATTGGTCAATTTTTACAGCTTACGGTCATTGTAGAATAGGCTTTACGAGCGACACAATAATTTTTCTTACATGTTATTTATAAATAAAAAGTTGCATAAAACGGAGTAATGAGATCGCTGTAAAACATTTAATGGGCCGAGACTCCCATTACCTCCTCTGATAGTCAGTAAATGGTCGTAAAAAGCAAGTGTGTTTATTAGTTTTTACTCAATATACATATTTTTGTAACCTATTTTTACTTCACAAACATTTCTCGATTATTTACTGATTGTCAGGGGAGATAAGAATAGTCTCGATCCATTTTTACAGCTCTCTTAGTATTCCATATTTTATTCAAATTTTATTTATTTATAAATGGTATGCAAGAAAAATCAATCATGTCATTTCTTATGATACCAAGATTCAATATGGTTGAGGTCAGTACTTAGGAACCTTGAAACGACAATTATCTACAACTATTATATGTTAATCGTAGAATAGGGTGTTTACAATGGCTGCGTTCAATAGAAAAAGTAATTTTGCAACTGTTGTAAAATTTTTGAATATAATTACGTTTACACTTTTAATCGAGTTTAATAACATCCATAGATACGATCAATTATAGTTATTCCTCTCTAAAGAACAGAATGGTTGTGATTAGTCAGTTTTTAACTACAATGTTATTAAACTCGACTAAGAGTGTCTGTATAAATGTATAGTTTATGATTGGTTTATATACATTTAGATTAAGTGAAGAATTAAAGGCAAGACTACTCATATTAAAGAATTTTACAACAACTGGAAAGCTGCTTTTTCTACTGAATACAGCCAGTGGGAATAATTTATGGATCTACAATGGGAGTAAGTCTGACATTTCTTATGTTAATCAACAAGATTTTTCGAGCATAATGATTGACTGTGGAGCAGAGATAATCTCAGATATCTCTGTCAAGATTAGCATTATTTTATCGACCCTCAAAAAACTCAGGAGTTTTTTATAAATTTTACCCGCTTTAAAAAAAACTCAAAATTGATGGGATTTTTGGGTTATTAATATAATTATATTGAAGATCATCAAAATTTCTTTTAACAAAAATTTGTTTAAGCGTTAATTTTAAGCGTTAAATTATCCAAATAAATGTTAACATAGTTTATATAAACAAGAAGAAGGAAGCCAATAACGGTCAAAGCTGGATCACAAATGCTTATACAGCAGATAAATTCTCCTCACATTCAACCGTGACTAATATTTCTTACGACATACAGTCTATTGTATTATATTACTCCTATTGTAGACAGTCTTCTAGATACTACTTTCATAATGAGATATGAAAACATACATACCACCATTTCTTTTCGCAATGATTTTAGGTGGTCCACCAGACGGTACAATAAGATGCTCCTCAGGATTTCCTCCTTCATCCAGTATCGCCTATAAATAATTATTGTTTTGTTTTAAGTTTATAAACACGAACCATTATATTAACCATGTATGCAAAGATTTAATTTCAATCAAAGAGAATGTGTATTGTGTAAATAAATGCATCGTGTTTCAAGGTGTGTGACTTGTCACTTTGGCTTTTCCAAAGCCAGATTACAATACAGGATGTCCAGCGATATGTGATTAACCAACTCGACGATAATTCAAGGATATACTAGATAAAAACCCTTACTTTTCATTATTTAATTAATTTTTATTAATTCATATAATATTATACGTTTTAAATTCAAGTTAGGATTCTATACGATAATTGTTAAAACAAAAGCTAATTAATAATTTGGAACGATATTATTTACTGCTTTATAAATAACATCAAACAAACAATAATTTCTCTGCTATATTCTATTTTATAATTGTGGATACAAAAAATCCAAGATTTTTGTCTTGTTGCATCTTTAAGGAAGAACTTATATCCAAACCCACATCTCTCTCTCTCTCTCTCTCTCTCTCTCTCTCTCTCTCTCTCTCTAAAAAAATCTCTCTCTCTCTCTCTCTCTCTCTCTCTCTCTCTCTAATAATTATAAAATTATTAATTTATTGACACTTCATTAAATAGATGTTATAATCTCAAAATTGCTAGCATTTTTTCCATCTGCAATCACAAATAGCATCAAGAATAATAAAAATTTCAAAGATTTTCCAGGAGTTTTCTAAAATATATTAAATTCTAGAATAACACTCCAGGATTCAAGAATACATATAACCCTCAGTTACCACGCTTCGGTCACCATCACACTCTAGCGTGAATTAGAATTTTCTATTTTTCATCACGTGTAACTTCAAAGAAAGAAAAAAAAATACTTCAATTATATAATTTTCAGGAAAATTTTTCTAGAAATCCATTGATAATAATAAAATAAAACAAAAACAATATTTTATTGCAAAAAATTGTAAATTAAGGAAGTAAGAAATTAAAGAATTACAGCAAAGTGATTCCTGCAATAGTATATATATTGCTCCAATGTCACCCTGCAGTAGTACATACATGACATAATTTATGTAAAGTTGAAAACACAATGAAAAGAATAGGCAATAGAAACTGATAGAAATAGGGAATAAGCAATTTTAATTTATCAGAAACCATGTATACTAGAATGAACGCTTTCTGATAGGTTGAAATCTCTTATTCCCTGTTCCTACCTGTGCTTTTCATTATGTTTCAGCTTAATATTCTTTTCATCAGCAACTAGCACACTAATTACAGATAAGAAATTTTGAAACAAAAAAGCAAAAATAGTTCAATTATATAATTTCCAGAGGTAAAATTTTTCTGGGAATCCATTGATAATAATAAAATTAAACAAAATCAATATTGTAAAAAATTAAAAATTAAGGAAGTAAAAAATTAAAGAGCTAAGACTCATCTACTACATAGAAATCGTAGACGGTCGTCAGTTCTCAATCGTATAAAAGACCAATTAGTTGAGTATTCTCCTTATATTTAATTGTAATTGATTTTGGTTTCCTATGGCTTTTATATACTAAGATGAGTCTTTAAAAGTCATCTACAGTAGCAATAAGCAATGATAATGAGGCTATAAGAGTAAGAATCACAGTCGAATGTGAGAAGAATAATCAACTGTGATTGATCAATTTCTTAGGGACTATATAGGATAAAAGGAACAGGGAACAGAGAACAAGAACTTCAATCTATCAGAAACTGTGTATTCCACAGTACATAATTTCTGATAGGTTCAAATTCTTCTCTGTTCCCTATTTCTTCTATTCTATGCAGCCTGTTACAGGCTTACCATGGTCATTACAGATGGCCCTATATACGGGGTCTACAATACAAGTAGCGATCATAAAAGTTTAAGTCGTAGAAAGTTGTGACTAATCATAGTCGATTATTCTTCTCATAGTCGACTGTGATTGGTTAATTTTCTATGACTTTTTTTTACGATATTACTTCTATCGTAGACCTGGCATTACAGCAAAGTAAATATGTTAATGGTACAAATTCGCACCAGTGTGGTAAACAAGGATTAAGGATCGCTGAATATCCTGTAACGATACATTATAATTTACGTAATACTAGGGAGTTTTTGCAATACGGTTTATCCCTGATAAAGTGAACGCTAAAGTCACATTATCTTTTTCTTGAAAATTAATTAAGAAAAGGATAACATGACTTTAGCGTTCACCATATCTAGGATAAACAGTACTGCAAAAACTCCCTACTCTTTTCATAAGCAACTAGCGCAAGTCCCATAAGGCTGGAAATGAGGCGTATTTGTCGCGTATCGCGTAACCACTCATCCACTATTGTAGTTTCCTGTTTTACTGATTACTGATTGATTACATAGTTACTTAACACCTAGCAAGTATGCCTCATGGAATTCCTGCTTAACGCAGACAAGAAAAAAACAATCGTTTATTTCAAGATGCTAGTATACAAACCGCCCTTCCCAAGTAGCATGTTGATTAGATTGCGCAATCAATTACTCAATACATTTTTAAACGAGCACTTTGGTTGATGATAAAAGAGCATCCTTATTCAAGGATTCCGACAATATTAATATAACTTTCTGATAGATAAAATCCTTTCAATTGGCGCAAGTACGCGACAGCAGATCCGCTACTAAATCGATAGGATCGATAAACCACGCCGTCCAGAGAACAAACGGCATTCAAGCGCGAGGAATCGTAAGAGAGAAAAAAAGTACTGAGACTGAGACATCGTTCACCTTGGAGAGCCGCTCGAGAAGCGCCGCTTTATTACCGGATTTGTCCAGGCCACGACGTTCCAGCTCCGTTTTCAGATCTATAACTCGGAGCTCGGTCAACTTCTTTCCTTCTACATCGGCCATTGTACCCACGACGATCACTCTCACTAATCACGAGACAAGATACAGTGGCAGCGACGATGGCGCAGGACTGAGATTTCGTACGATCGTTCTTGATCGAAAACCACAATACGCGAACGACTGCAATTGGATTAAATAGCTCACTACTAGCAAAGAATTTTGGAGCACGAGCGAACTACGATATCCCTTAGTACGTCCGACGATCCGATCACTACGACGGAATCGAAACCAAATAAGAAGCCATTTCCTCCATCATCGACGTCGACGGTCGACGGCCGACGCTATCGACGGTCGAATCGAATTGAAGCTGTGTTCCAAAATGTTCATTAACAGTGCTGAAACTCTAGATTGCGTTCAGCAAAACGTTTATTTTGTGACCGTGGAAAGGTTTCCTTAACACTGATTGGCAGGGTTGGGTTAACCGAGAATGCGGTTAAATATGTATAAATTAAAACGTATAGAACACTAATTTATAATCCACGAGTGTCCAGCACAATAGCTCCACGTTACATATATATTTACAACTATTTTCAGTACTAGTAAATCCAAATAATGATTAGTTGATTATTTGATTAGTGAATTTCGAAAAACGCAACCTTAATATGAAATATCGATTTAATGGCGTTTTCGACCCGGCCGGGTTTGCACTAACCTTTTTGGGTTGGTTAATGACGTTACATGCTCTCCTATTGGTAAAATGTGTAAAGTCCACCAATAGAAAAAATACTTTTTAACCCAGGTTGGAGCAAACTGGAGCAAACCTATAAACTATACTAGTGGCATCACACAAAGTAGTCACCGATTGCTTTGTTCCGATTGGTTGAGAAATAATCCTCTATCGTCAATCACAATCGCTAGTGTGATTACGGCTTTTAGGCTGCATTCAAAAACATTACCCGAGTGATCCCGTATATCGTTTATCCTTGTTGTCCAAACATGTTAAACAAAGATAAGACGATACACGGGAGCACTCGGGTGATGTTCCTGAACGCAGCTTTAATGTGACAGATTTCAACCTTAATATTTTGATTCACGAGCAACATTTTTTTCTGCCAATTACGTTAATTTTGTGCAAAAACGCGTTGAATGAGCCGACTAATTTCATAGAAATCGGTGAATAAACCGGCATCCTTCATAATAATCATATTTTTTTAATTTTGTTAAAATTAAAATTAATTAACTAGGCAGCATATTAAAACTCCCTTTTTTGCTTTCACAATATCAAACACACTTATTATTTTAAGTTCTAAAAATGCCCAAGCAGAACAAGTTACGATAACAATGACATTGATGAATCAGAAATGGTTAAAAATGATTTTTAACGATCATTTTGGAATCATTTTAATAACATTATGGTATTTTGTTTTAGTATATACTAGTTCAGCCACAAAAACAGATCCAATGAGTGGCAGTGATAGTGATGATGATCATTTGCGATTAAGCTCAAGTACGCTTGCTGCTTTAGAGGAATTCTTGAAGGAAAAGGAAGAGCGAGAGAATTTGCTGAAACTGATATCTACAGAAGATCAAGTATCAGATACTCCTTTTGATGAGAATTGGGTAAATAAATGATAAAATAATTTGGTAAGTTTTTTAATTCTGAAAAATTGATGCATAATCAATATTACAGCAATTGAGTCAGTTTTGGTATAATGACGATACGGTAAAGGCTTTTGTTACTGGTGCTCTAAATTCGACACCGGCAAATGGAAAGATCGCTCTAGTTTCTTGTCCAACACTGTATACCAAATTAAAAAAGGAGTGTGGTAAACGACAAAGTATGATTAGTATATTCTGAATATATAGCGTAATATTAACTGAGTAATTTGTAAGGTTGAAAAATAATGTGTTACATCCACATAGCATGTAATATCATAGCATCATTTTTTCATTGCAATATTACAATAAAATCTTGTAAAAATAACACTAAAATATTATGAAGATGTCACAATATTATACTGTCTACGAAAATAAATTATAGAAATGTTACTTATATATCATAGATTATCTCACTAGTAATATATAATATTTTTGTGATATTTATTGTTTACATTTATACTTATTAGGAAAAATTAAATTACTTTAAAGAATATTTTTTTTATTATTGATGTTTTTAATGTTATTTTAAAAATTATTCTATATGATATTAATTAATCTCAATAAGAAACATAATAAAAACTTTATTAATTATAATATCATTCTACTATTTAAAACATTATATTATCATAATATTGCTATAATATTTCAATGTTGGTTATCGACAAACAGTATATATTAGTAATATTTCTATATAAAATTCATAACGAATTATTATATTTAAACATTAAAAATTGAACTAAGATTGTATAAGGCTTTTATTTCCTAGTTTCCAACTCTATTTTACAAATATATTATTTTAATTGCAGTCACGTTATTTGAATATGACAGTCGTTTTAAGATATTTGGTACAAATTTTATACAATATGACTACAAGTTTCCATTGGATATACCTCGGCATATGTCTAGTCGGTTTGATTTGGTTATAGCCGATCCACCTTTTCTTTCGGAGGAATGTCTATCTAAAATAGCAGTAACAATAAAGTTTTTGACCAAGAAAAATATTGTTCTCTGCACAGGTGTGTATAAAATTATTTTTCTGCTATAAATTTTTGTTATATATTAATTATGCATTTATATAATTAGAACTATTGGTTCATACGCAGGTGCTATTATGGCGGAGCTGGCAGAGACGTTGTTGGACGTTAGAAAATGTGATTTTCTTCCAGGTCATAAAAACAATTTGGCAAATGAATTTTATTGTTATTCAAATTTCAATTTTGATAAATTTCTAAAATAACAAACAGTTTTAGAAATACTAATTGAATGATGATATATATTTGTAATAAATTTATAAATGTTGATAATCTCTTTTATATTTATTTAAGAACAGATATGATTTTAAGTAACTCCTCACTCTTTAAATCCCACAATTCTGTTCTTTTATATGAGAGATCTCAGTTAGCTGACACACATTCTGATAGCACAAATCTACTTATATCAGCCAATGTGCTTATTAATTTTTCAGTACATTATCAATGAGAATATTTCATATTAAATTAGACAAATATTAATCAATATTTTTCTTTTTATGATTTATACTTATTTTTCAGAAAATAGTGATTAACAGGAAGATAAAAGTCTCATTAATTTATCTTTGAAATAATTGAAACAATTCCCTAGCACATGATATTCTGAGGATATTTTGAAAATAGTTTGAAACTTTCACAAGATATACTCAGAATGTTCCTATTTTCACTCATTTCTTGCTGGAAAGCAATCAAGATATTCTCAAAATGTTCTTAGAATATCAGGACTATCCACGGATTATTACATTAGCATTCTTTAATTACAGCCGGGTCCTCAGGATTCTCTAACATTTTATGAATGATTGGCGTTGTCATCAAAAATTACACGTGTACGTGTTTCGGCTGTATGAATCAGCCCTAATCAGGTATAACAAAAATTATATACAAAAATCTATCTCACAAATCATTGATTAAAAATTGAAAGAATAAAATTTGGCCAATCAAAATAAGAGCTAAAATTCCTTTATCCTTATTGGTCAAATTTCAATTTTTAATCTTTAAAACGTAGTCTTTGACCTACATGTAGGATCACACTGCGTACGACGTAAGAAATTAACCAATCATGGTCGATTGTTTTCAACTGTGATTGGCCAATTTCTTACGGCACGTCAAAGCGGCTAGGTACGCTTGCTGAGCACTCAAATATGATTGGTTATGGCGACTTCCGGTGCATCCGCTCCACTCTCCCTTGATTCTCTCTGGTTCCAATAATATTTGTGCTAACGGAAGACGGTCGGGTGCTCAACTACAACAGCGCCTCTATCGGTGAAAACAAATTTCGGATCGTTTTTAGAACGAAAAAGCTAAGGAGTTGATACTCCTTCCTAAAATACTCCGTGGTCGTATCTTTTCACAATAAGTGAAAAGTCCCCAAATCGTGAGGACATGAAGGATAGAAAAGTCTCTAGGCAGTGTCGCTTTCGCGAAAAAGTGTATGTACACGCGATGGAAAGTGTAAATATTTACTTCTCTTGAGTATTCGTTTCGGCGCATTTTTTTTAATTTGTGTCATCATGATAGACGGAAACATCTCGATGGAGGAGGATACCGAATTACGGGACCTGGTGGTGCAGACCCTGGAGAGTAACGGCGTCCTCGCTAAGATACGGGTACGTCTTCAGATAATTATGTCTTACGAAAGAAAAATAGAAAAGAATGTTTGCATGTCTCTGTAGGTTAGACGAGTGTTTTCGGGGAAAAAATGAAAAATTTCATTAAAATCGTTATTTGGCGTTTCTCTCTTTTCCGTTGATCTTATTGAACCTTCGAAATGTTTGCAGGCGGAACTCAGGGCGAGCGTGTTTCTGGCACTTGAGGAACAGGATTCGGTTATGGTAAGACTCATTGAGGCATGCACAACTGTAATTAGGGCGGGAGTAGAAGTCTTGCATAACGCATAATGCTTAAGAAAATGAACCAAAATCATTTCTTTCCACGAAATAAAAGATTTTGATTGATTGATTTTCTTATGTGTTGTCTGAAAATCTCTTCTTTTAGGATCTGAGCACAAAAGAATCGTTGGAATAAATACTTAGATTTAATTGTAGACATGAGTAACGTCAAGCTTTGATGTTTGACATACTTACTGTCATGTTTCCAAGAGGTGGAAATCAGTCACATGTCATATGCTAAAGCTTGTACATTGCTTACGTCTATTATTTAAGTCTGAAGCTAGTGACACACGATGCTTATTTTCTTATTGGATTTCTAGCTAAATTAGTATCTTGCCATCATATTGTCTGTCATACTAATAGCATCCAATATGGTAGCAAGAATATATAATAGAAATGATACAAGAATAGATACTAGAAATCCAACAAGAAAACAAGCATCTTGTACTGCTAGCTTAAAAGTAAATGTTACAACAATTCTTGTGTTCAGACTCTTAGACTCATTGTTAGTTTTATAACTCATAATTAACTCTTAATGTTCTTAACCAAGGTCCGACTTATTTCTTATCTCTTTTTAATTCTAGAATTAGAAAGTTAAACGTTGATTAAGAAAGTTAACCATGAGTTACGAAATTGGGCCTTAAGGTTTATCCGCACAAAGTTGCAAGCCGCATAAACATATGCATAAAAAATATCCAGTCATTTTACATATCATTCTAAGAGAAATACGATTGGATAATTTTCATTATACATTCATATGATTATATAAATTTGTATGTATGGATATATCTTTAGGTATAAAGGATAGGACTTATATATGTCGTAAACTATTAACTTATTACACAAGAAATTGATGATTCACACTTAGATATGATTGCTTTATTCTCTTTATATTTAAGAGCGATTGATTAATTTCTTACAGCTTACAGCATGAGTGAACAGAATATGACATATATAAATAATCCTTAAAAAGAAAGTATTAGTCCATTAGGCTCTTGTAAATTCCCAGATAGTAACATGTCTGTCTTGTTACTTGCTAAGTATGTGTTGCTACCAGAATTGCAGCAACTGAATCCTCATTAGTTACTTGATACTTTCACGATATGACAACTTTGAGTAGCAACTTGTCAGCAATTTGCCTACGACTTTAAAATTATTATCATAAAAATTTGTACTACTGCCGTCATGTTGCCATAATAATATGCAGCATTACACAATTATGCAAACATGTTGCTGATAACGCAAGGTAACATTCATACAGCTATTGTATCTTTAAACTGCTGGTCATACATATATACATTGTTGCCTACATATTGCTGCAATGTCGGTATATTCGAAATTGTGTTGAAGACAAATCTATGGCAAGTTGTCAGCATCATAAATAATCACAGATTTGTGCGATTTTGCTGAGATACGCTTCGCTATCTGAGTTATATCGCTCATTTGCTTTAATGACATAACCAGGGTTAGCATTATTTTTTTGGAATAATGTTTCAGAATCCTGAACCACTTCTCAACAAAACTGTAAAACAGTACCTGTCTAATTCAGAAGGAAAATTATTGTTTTCCTTAGTTAGAGAGTTCCTAGAATATTTTGGTCTCGACTATACAATATCTGTATACGACCCAGAAACATACTTCGGAAAGGAATACAACTATGCAGGGAGAAATAAATTGTGCGAAGAATTAGGTATTGTTTCAACTGAGCCATTACTGGGAGAAATTCTCAAGAATAGCATCAACGGTGCCTTCAATAGTTCACAGGTATTTCCTTGAGTTATATAAGTTTATTGTTGATAATTATATAATTGTAATTGTTAAGGGCCAGTAGAAAAAAATATATATTACATGAACAAATTAGTTAGTTTAAGCTACGTTTTGATAAAGATATATTAGATTTAATAACTTTTTTGTTCCTGGTCTCTTATATTTTTTTACATTTTTAAAAAACAATGATACGTTAAATAATACATTTTTATGAATTCTTTCTATAGAATAAAACTAGACACAATGTAACAAATGAAGACTCAACAAATTTCGCAAATGCAACGTTTGAAGTGTCTGTTCCCAAAATGTTCCACAATGAATCCGTGTCGTCGAATGAAATATTAGAAAGCATTTCCGAACAGAGTCCGAAAGTTCCAATAAACGTGACAATAACGGACAAGAAGTGCAAAGAGATGCCAATCGGCACCGACGTTTTAACGGACACGTTGAATTACGATAAGCATCAATCTTCTCTCAGGGAGAGTACAACGGATACCGATAGAATTGAAGGTAACAGGAACAATAATGTAAATTTTGATAAAAACACTTCGAATCCACACGATGCATGCACGGCGACAAACTATGTGGCACAGGAGACTGATAGTACCGTTACGTCCAATCAAATGAGTCCATTAAGCAAATCCGAATCCTTAATTAAGTTCGACGAGTCTATAGTAATCGACATGCAAGAAAATCAAAATAAGGATGTAACTAAACAAAACAGTATAAATAGTTTGGAGCTAAGTATAGAAAATAATGTACAAAGTAAGAAACCGGTTAATGTTGGAAGTAACTTCGGGAAAACGATTTATTTCGACGAGATTATCGTCAGCGGTGATCGAAAAAATATTACAATGAATAAAGCCGAGCCTTTTCTAGAAGGTTTGCCAACTATAAATCAGAAAGCTAATTCTATATTTAGCGATTTGCCGCCGTTAAATGGTAAAAAGGCTAATATTAACGATCTGAAGGAATTAATGGATATTGGGCTTGGTAAGTTGCAAAAATATGATATAAGTATTTGAGATTTATTTTCCTAATCATTCAATATACAGTATACAAATTTTGAATAGCTATTGAAGCAATACACTTTTATAGCTACAGATATAGATAACTATGAGGAAGACTTTGTGTCGTCTGCGTCGGGCAGTGCAAACGAGCAAAGCCCTACTAAAGAGCCAGACAAGATAGACAGTCCTTTAAAATTGCAAATAAAAAAAGAGGAAAAGCCTCAAAATACTCATACCGAAGATTTAAGTGAAGAAATCGAAGAAATGGACGAAATCTTGAGTAGTACCTCTTGCGTAAGTAAACTCAATTTAAATTAATGCAACCCAAATAGCACGTAATACCACAGTAATATTATTTTTCTATTGCAATATTGCAATGAAATCTAACAGAAATATCGTAAAAATATTACTGAGATATATCACAGAAGTATCACTGTAATATTTTTGTGACATTTATATAATGTTTATGTTTATGTAACATTTATTGGAAAAAATTAAATTATTAAAAATTTTTTTTTATTTTATTAAACTGATATTATAAAT